TTTGGTTTGGTTTGGTTTTTTGTCTTGTTTTGTTTTATTTTTTTGAGACAGGGTCTTGTTATGCAGTTCAGGCTGATCTTGAGTTCACTTTTTAGCTCAGGCTGGTCTGGAACTCACAATGATTCTCTGCCTCAGTCCCACCCAGTTTTGAGATTATAGGCAAGTTCTTGTTTCGATGAACAGGACCTTTGCAAATTTCCAGGTAATATAGACTGAGGAGATAAATTCAGCCAAGGAGAAAGTTCAAAACAGAACTCACTCTGCCGAAACTGCAGAAGTAGAGTCTAGAATACTCTGATTATGTCATTGACCTTTAGTGAAGTTGTACATTTCCAACCATTAGTGCGATTGTACTAGTTGGGAAATTTGGAGGGGTATCTCCTACTTTAGTTGTGACCAAGCATTAAAATACTGAAATCCATCCAAGAAAAACTTTTTAAATTTTTCTTTCATTTAAATGTGTATGCAAATAGTTAAAATTTTGTAAGTTTCATTTCACAATAGCAATAGGATATCACAAAGTGCTATAGAAAGAGACCACTGGCAAAAGGCATTTCCTATGGCTGAATGAAGAGAAATTTTTCCTTTCAAAAACAACCTTAAAGTAGATCAAAATCAACCAAAACAATCCATGAAGCAATCTGGTAACCAATGAAAGGCACATAATAATTTTAGGAGCATTTATCCTTGAAAACCTGAGTAAATTTGGGCAGCAGTCATGGAAATCTGTAGCATCCTAGCTCCAGGCGCCCCTGCCCTGTCCTCCAAGCTCTGTCAGTAGGAAGGTCCTCAGATGGGGCAAGCTACGAGGACAGACAGTCTCTCTGCTGTGGATAAAGGAGTCACTTGATTTGGAGCAGTGGGCAGCACCCAATCTTGGCTAAGTGAAAATCCCCAAAGCAGAAAAGCAGGAGAGCCAGGAAGTCCAGTGCACGAGGCTGCAGATTCGATGGGGACAGATACATTGTGGGCTACAGCTGCATACATGCACAGCACAAAACAGAAAGGCTGATCTAGCTACAGCCCCTGGCCACCCCTGAGGATACACGTATATGCAGAAAGGAGAAAGGGCCCAGCAGAATGTAAACAATGGAAAATATGCAAAAATGGCCTAAGCTTTGAATGTGCTAGTGCAATAGGCTGCTTCTAACAGGACCCTCAGAGATGTATGTCTCCCAGTATCAGTGCCCTGTGTGATGCCCTCTACCTAGGGTATGGCTAATATAGTAACTTGCTTCTCATAAAAAGAATACTGCAAAAATGATGGTTGTCACTTGCAAGAAAAGGTTGTAAGAGAATGACTTCTGCCTAACCCTGACTCTCCTTTTCAGTTCCTCTCCTTGCTTCTTGGAGAAGCAAGTTGCACGACAGGAGCTAGTGATGGAAAGGCCCATCTACCAAGAAACGGTGGTAGTCAGCACACAACTGGTGCTCTTGGTTCAGTGGCCTTCAAGGAAGCCAGTCCTCTCAAGAACCACACAGAGCCTGCACACACAGCCTTCCCAGTCTGACTTCCAGATCACCCACCTGGCAGTGCCTTGATTACCGCCTAAGCCACAGAAGTACACCCATATTTCCAACCAAAAAAAAAAAAAAAAAGCCCTGTGAGATCATAAAAGATTTTGTTTGAAGCCACTAAACTTCGGGATAAGTTGAAATGTAGCAATAAGATCATTACCTCAGCTCCTCTACATGCCGGTCAATTCTCTGTAGAGGACAGATGGCTTGAGGGGTGTGAACATGACCTCTGCCCAATCCACTGTGCACACTCAGAGTCAATGCTTAGAAGCAAAGCTATGTGTGAAAAACAAGTACATAAACAATTTAATCAGAAATTTCCAGTCGCCTCATGTTATAAGAGAGAATTCACAGCTTCCTAGACAGAGATTGCAGTGAGTCCAGATAAATCATTAAACAAAGAAACACAAAAACAATAATAATACATCCTGGGATATGGGTAAGAATCCAACATTGCTACAATATTTTTTAAACTGACAAAACTGCATACTTTTAAGATGTGCAGCAGGTTTTGGCATATGCACACACTGAAGAATGACTAAAGCAAATTAACTTATCCATTACACACCTTTACCTATCATGGCATTATCTTTTATCTTTTTTAATTTTAAAGAGGAAAAAATCAAACAAAATTTCAAAATGAGTTAATAGCAGAGTAATGATATTTAATGCATAACATATTGTTATCTTCAAAGTAGTTACTCAGAGCACAATATATAGGCATGAAAAATTGTTCAAAGAAAATTAGCACAAACCTTCCTTTTCAATGAGCTAGTAGTATAAATTTCTTTTCAATTTTTTTCTGTAATTTTCTTTTCAATGAGTAGTATAATTATCTTAACTATCTTGTATATATATATTTTTCCTTTTTCCTTTTTCCCTTTCTTCTTTCCCTCATCCCAGTTTCTTTCCTTTTTGAAAATTTTCTTTCAATTTCACAATACCTAGTGTACATTTTGAACTTTATTTACTCTTTCAACTTCTCACACTAGGGAAACAATAGAATGTTTACACACATGTTGTATGATTTATTTCACTTATGAGTATGGTCTCAAGTTGCATCCATTTACCTATAAAAGTCTCAAGTTTATCTTCTTTATGGCTGAGTAGTTCTCTGATGCAGAAAAAGACCACATCTTTTTTATCCATTCTGTGGTTGATGGGCATTTGGGTTGTTACCAAGATTTAGCTATTACAAATAATACTGCTATAAACATGGGTGCACATATATCACTGTGGTATGATGTTTTTAATTCTTTTGGGAAAATACCCAAAAGGAAAATAACTGGATGTAATGGGACCTCTAATCCTAGTGTTTTGAGGAATCTCCACACTGATTTCCACAGTGATTGCACCAGCCTAAGCGCCCACCAACAGTGGAGAGGTGCTCCTTTTTCCCCACAGCTCCTTCAGCTTTTGTTATTGATTGATTTCTTGGTGATAGCCATTCTTTCTAAAGTGAGATGGAATCTCCACGTTGTTTTATGATATTATTTTTTAACATCTAGTTTTCACCCAAAAATTATAAGATGTAAAGAAAAAAGAAAGTGCCACATATAACCAAGAAAATAACAATGAGTAGAAACTTCTCTAAATGTTTGCAGATATTGTATTTAGCAGACAGACTTCAAGTAGCTATTACAAATATATTCAAAGAACAAAAGCATATTTTAAAATTTAAATGAAATTATCACAATGAATCAGCAGAGAAAAATTCAAGAGATAAAAATTGTGAATAATAGAAATGTGGGAACTGAGAAATATAATTAAAATGAGCAATTTACTCAAAGGACTTGTTAGCAGATTATATATGGCAGATGAAGGAATCAGTGAACTTGAAGATACAGTGGTAAAAATTATCCAATTTAAAGAATAGAAATAAAAAATGATCAAAGAAAAAAGTAACACAGCCTTAGAAATCAGTGGGACAATATAAAAAAATACCAATAAATGTATAATGAGAGTCACAAAAGTAGAAAAAACCAAAGTCACAGAAAAAAAAAAAAAAAAACTTGACCCAAAACTTGCAGAATCTGGTGAAAAATGTTAAGTACCTGACTAAGAAGTTCACTAAACCTCAGATGGGGTAACTACAGACATTCACCCCTAAACACATCATAGGCTGTCAAAAGTCAAAAAGCAAAGGCAAGAGAAAAAATGATCAGCAAGAGCAAAATGATTCCCATGAGCTCAAAAGAAGCAATGCAGTGAACAGCCAACTTCCTCTGCGGAAGAACGGAGGGCTAGAACATGCTAGAATGAATAGCATGATATTCATTCTAGATGATATTCATGCTAGAATGATAGCATGAATTCAACTACCCAGCAAATCTTTCTGAAAAACTGAAGGTAACATAAAGACATTGCCACGTAAAGATAAAAGAATTGCCAGCCAGGTGTGGCAGTACAAGCCTGTAATCCCAGCACTGGGGCGGTGGAGGCAGGAAGATTATGTGAATTTGAAGCCAGCCTGGATTACAAAGTAAATTCAAGGCCAGCCTGAACTGCACAGTGAAACTCTGTCTCAAAAAAACAAACAAACAAATTCATAGCCATTTCTTGCAACTGTATTTTGAAATGAATAAATTTAGATACAAGTCAAAATGATCAGCATTTGATAAACATTCAGAACTGATTTAGGCTACTGAGGCAGCCATCATAGTGTAGAGACACTCACCAATGAGGACGGAAGAAAGATACCTGAGCTGACCTTTGTTTTAGCAAAATCTCTACAGAAGTGGAGGTGGAAGGACCATAAGAGAGGATGTGGCAGGGCCCAGAGGAGAGTAATGAGTAGAGGGGGCAGTGGCCTTGCAGGCCAAAGTGGGAGGAAGCTAATGTCCCAGGGGAACAAGAGACAAAGCATCCTTGTGTCTTAACCATCACCCACTTCTCGCCATCCTCCTGGTGATCAGTGTATGGAATGTACCTCCCCTGAACCCTTATTCTTACTGCAAGGACCAGGTGCCCTATAAGAGCAGATGGTGCCAGGATGTCTCCAAGGGTGAGGGTCACAGCTAATTCATATACTCCACCAGAGTGACCCCCTAAAACACAAGGATGGATGTTCCCCCCCAAAATACCAGATGCACAGCTCAATGGGAAATTTCACCAGCCAACCCCAGAGATGCCATGGAAGTTTTTCTCTTGTCTTTTTTAACAGGTCAGTCCAATCCTCTCCATCAGAGCTGTGCCCCCTTCAGCTGTTCTTTGGTCAAGCTGGTATCCCTTACTCAGTAAAGGATATCCTTTTTGCCTGTAATTTCATCCTGTTGTCTCAGTATTTATGTCTATTATCATAAACACAAGTTCCCATAACAGTCTTGAACCACCACCTCCACTCTGACCCCAGCACCAGCTGCAAGCCTGGCAGTGACCTCACAATCATTTCCCAGCTGTCTGTCTTCTGAAATGAATATCCAAGGTCCCTGCCTTTTATGATCCTTTCCAGAGGCCACACCCTTTTTCTGAGTCACCCATATCAGCAAGTCTAGGCTCACTCAGATCAAGAGAGTGCTAGCCACTCACCCAAAGTAGAGGCAGGCCTCCAGCATGTCAGAGAAGCCAGAGGACCAAAAGGAACCAAAGGATTTAAAGGCTCTCATGCCCACAGAGAGGAAGTCCGTGTGGAGGACTGCAGAGGAGAGGCGGATGTCTGACCTCACGCGGGTGCTGGAGTGGCTAGAGAGGAGGAAGGGGAAGAAGAAGCAACCTGTCCAGGTGTGTACTGTCAAAGCAAAGGTGCCAGAAGACTGTTCAAATAGGGGAGCTGGAGCTCTGAACTCCCCCAAAACAATGGCAGAAGCGAGTGTAAGCATGGGATGAGCTAATAGAGGATGATAGAGTGAAGGTTGGCTAGGCCATCTGTATTTGCTTAGTGGTGATTATCAGAATTGGGGTCCTTCCCTCCCCACAAAGACTGAATGGGGAGCAGTCAGTCTCTCTTGATTCTATTTCAAGGAGATGATTCCATGTCCTCAACACAGACATTCTAAAGAGTGACAAGAGGGGGGAAACTGATGTCTCAAAAGGACAGAGGAAAATCTATAAATTTTCTAAAGGAAATTCTCTCAGAAAAAGGCAGTCAGGACCCACAGTCAGGAAGAAGCCTATCTAAGCTTTAGTCAAGCTGGGAGGGATGTTAGCTCCAGTACTTGAGAGAGGCTAAGGGAAGCAGCTCCTGGTTCTTGGTGTTTGTCAAGATGGAGTCCCCCACCACCACGACAGTGTCCCCCACAACTCCTCCTAAGAGGGCTCCGGGGTCCAAGGGCATTCCTTCCCCACTGGGACTCCTTCCTGCTAGCAAACCTCCTCCTTCCCACCCTGCCTCCAAGGCAACTCCACCTTTCTCCAGAAGCCAAGTTCGTCTCAGTTTTCCCGACTTCCCTCAACCCAGGCTCATCATCTGTGGTGAACCAAGCTCTGTCCTTGGAAAACGGTGTCCTCTGCCCTTGAACCTGCATCCCCCAGCCCTGGAACAGAACAGGTGAAGAGAGCATTACTAATGGTGATGCTCATCCCACAGCAACTTTAAGCTTGAGTGTGCTTCATATTGAGTGTGGGTCACCTCAACTGCCCTCTGCTAGGCTCTAAGGCAGGCAGCATGCTCATGCTCCAGGTGAAAAATAAAGAAACCAAAATGAGTTAATGGAGAGCACAGAGCCAGGTCTCAAATCCAGATTCGTCCAGTTGCCAGGCAACATCTCACAACCACCTTCACTTTCTCGGCTCTCATCAGCTCAGTCTTGGCACCCCCACCTTGCTCAGGGTTTCACTTCTTATAGCAGAGAGTCATGACTGCTGCTTACACCAGGCAACATGCGTTTTCCACTAAGATGCTAATGATACTGATGAACTCCAGCTCCCTATTCTTATTTTGGGGACAAGAGTGAGAGCTTGACTTTGGGGTCACTTAGAACTCAAGTATCAATCACAAAACTATATCCACATTCATGCTTAATATGTCCCAATCTCCTTTCACAAGGAATATAGTCTAATAATGTTTTAACATCCATATGAAATATGTAGCTTTTATTTTACACAAATTTTGAACCCAAGGAGGGAACAAATTTACACATCAAAAAGTATAAATAAATCTTCACACGTCATTTCCCTTGCAGTAGCCTCTGGCTTTGTAAAGAAGCCCCTAAGAAAAGAGGTAGAAGGTTTATGTGGCAGGTCTCAGGTAGCAGTGGGGGTGGGGATTGCCCTTGAGTGAAGACACCTGAAGGGGGGCTTGTATGCAGCCCTCAGGACCCTTTGGTCTCCTCTCCTCTCTTCCTTAGGGCGGGCCTAGCTGTCCAGGCTTTTCCCCCTTTTTGATTGCTTATGATACTCCCCCATGACCCACCATGGCCAAGAAAACTCCCAGGGTCTCAAGTCTGAGCCACAAATAAGCAAGCACTGAATTGTTCTTAGGTCTAAGGCTTCACCTTACTGACCCCATCCAACTTTCCCCAAACTGAAAGGTGTAACTCTACTAGGAAGAGAGGATTATGAGGGAGGAAGCCACCCTAGAGGAAGTGGCATTGTCCTCTCTCCTCTTGATCTGAAAACCAAGCCCCAATCCCAACTTACACACCTTTCTCCACTCAACCAAAAACTCAGAAGTGAATCAGCACTGTCCTCTCCAGATGGCAGCCTTGCAACTCCCACCCTTAGCTGCCCCAGGACAGCTTCCTCCCCTGGCTACTGACACAAGGGTCATCACTCCCTGAGGGCCTCCCACCCGTGTGCAGCAGCTCATCTGCCATTTTCCATCTTCCACAAGCACCTTATGCGGTGGCTCCTACCATCATCCCCATCCTTCCAATGAGGAAACTAAGCCACCATCAAGAAAGCAGTCACTTGTCCAAGGTAAGGCAGCCATGGAGCAATAGATGGCTCTACTTCCAACCCAAGCAGGGTGACCAGAGCCCGAAGCCTGGGTCATAGTCTGCCTTAGACCACACCTCATTGAAGCCAGCGGATATTCATCTTTCTCGTGGTGGTTTAGTACCCCCATTCACCCTCAGACATTGGGTGAGGTGTTTCCTGGATGGCCCTTTCACCTACTGGACTCTGGGGTCCCTAATAAACCGCCCATCTGCTTCTACTCCAACCTCAGTGTTATAAGGCCAGGCATGACCACAAACTAGAGATTCAGTTCAAAGCAGGCTGCACTTGGCTCCTCCACAAGTCACCAGGAGCCCACGGAAAAGGAAAGGGCAAGTTGCACTGTGGTAGTGCTCTGGGCCTACAGAATGAGGCGGCGGTGAAAAGAGAGGGGGGAAGAGGAGAAGGGGAAACAGGGGGAGGGGAAAAGAGAGGGGGAAAGAGGAGAAGAGAGAAGGAAAAGAGAGGAGGGGTGGGAAGGAGAATGAAGGGAGAGGAGTCAGGCTGGGCAAATATCTGGAGATTAAATAATCAGGACAGGTTCAGAGCCAAGACTTGCCTGTTGGCCAGGCAAGGAGGGTACAGATAGGAAGCCACTTGGGAGGGAGTGCTTTCACCTGGAGGGTGACAGAGGAAGTTACTGAAGGAACAGGGGGCAGGAACAAAGCCACCAGGTGTGCCAAGAGGCCTGAGGGCCAGTGAGGGAGACAGGGCACTAGAGTGTGGGAATGGGGGACTCATTCACCAGGCACCCGTCTGGTCTTTGGTGGCAGAGGGAAGGTCCCACACAGGGCTGCCTGCAGCATTGCCTTCCTCCTTGGCTTTGCAGAAGCAAAAGGTCATGGTGATGGAGACCCCAAAAGCAAAGATGAAAGAAGGAAAGAAAGTCAAAAATATCTTGAAGCGGCAAGAAGACAAGGCCAAAGCAAAGCTCCAGGAGCAGGTACCCTGCTGGGCTCTCCTCCCTCCCACACAGACATCACCTCAGCACTCTTGTCCACCTCACCCACAGCCTCATGGACCCAAAGTACTGATCCATGGTCAGCAAGCATCTCCCTCTACACTGCTGTCCCCACACCACTCCAAATGCCGTCAAAAACATTTGCCAAAGCCATGGCCCTGCGAGTGTAGGAGCCTCCCAGGCACACAGTGAAAGCAGCAGCCACAGACCCACTCCCTCCATGGGCTGTGTGTTCTCAGGGCCCCTCCACGCCCCTCTTCTGGGGAGAAATAAAAACCATTACACAGCCAGCATGGGCAAACTCCCCACACCTCCACTCTCTCCTGGCCCCCGGGAGGGTCTCTCCTCCTCCACTTTCAATGGCTGATCTTTCAATGAAGGGTGGGGCAGATGGAGCCAGATCCTGCAACCAGAATGTGACTTCTTTCCTGCCTCCTCCAAGGTCCCAGGGCAAAGCAGCAGGAGGAGCACTGCCTCCAACATGTTTTACCAAAAGCCTTTTGGAATGGACCAAAAGCGCTTGAGTACATTCTCCAGCATCTATGAAAAAGCTGTTCCCAGATCAGGTGAGAGAAGAGACAGAAACCATCGTTCTTGGCACTCTGCTCTCAGGGAACCAAAAGTTCACAGAGTCCTTGGAGCAGAAGCATCCAGGCACAGAACCCCAGGTGGAGGTTTAGGGACCACATCAGGGGAGGCTGGGCTGCTCCATCCGGAGCTCCTCCCCAGCAAGCCAGCCCTTGGAGCCCAAGGAGCTCCCCTCCTCCCAAGCCCTTTTGGTGACACTGACCTCATGAGTTCCAGGTTTTGTAACTAACTCAGATACTCTGACAGTGTCCATGGCAGAGATATTATGCTTGCGGGCCTGAAATCTCTCCAACAGGTAGTGCTCACACCCAGGAAGAGACAAGCAAGTTTCTGATCCTGCCTATGAAGAACACAGAGTTGTATTATTGTGGGCAAGCTCCTGCAACTCTGGGCTCCAATTCTCTCCTGTGCAGAATAGGGCAGTACTATTACCCAGTTATGGACTGTAGTGCGATGAGGGAGGTAAACCGCCTAGCTTGACAAAGGGAGGTGCTCAATAGATACTAGTGACTGTATCTAAATAAAATGTTTGCTAACATTTCAGATGAGCTGTACCAGGGGACTAGAAAAAAAACAAATGTGTTAGTTGTGCTTGGGATCTTGGAATGAGAGAGTTGGTAAAATAGGGATATAGAAGGGATTCCAACAAGCCCCAGGGAAAAGTAGGCAGGAGTCTTAGAGCAGGAGCCACCAATTCACCCACACAAAATTGTCGCATTGCACCCAGTGAAGTATCTCCCTCCACCCACCTTCCTTTAATATACTGAAGCCACGGTAGCCAAACTGTAGTCACTCCTCTATCAAATTTAAACATGATTGGTTTTAAATGTAGCTCAGGATCCTGGAGTGAATCCCGGAACTGTACTTCAGTAGAAAAATTTGTCAAATCTGTAAGAGCTCTATAATGTGCCAGTGTAAATTTCTTAGTTTTGACAACTGTACTACGGTTATATAAGACGTTAACATTTGGGAAAACTGAAGGAAGGATATATAGAATCTTCTTTATTTTCTTTGCAACTATTCTGTAAGCCAGTAATTATTTTAAAATACAAAGTTTATTAAAACTTCCTGTGCTAAAACCAGATGGGCTATGCCCTAGGGGAAGGCCCCAAACTTCAGACAAATTTTCTGGGACTCCCAGTGTCCTTCTGGCTCTAAAGTCTTGGATCTGTATGATTCATGAGTTTCTTTAAATCCTGCTTCCAGTGGATTTTTCTCTCCTCTCTGATTCCTGGCGACCGGCACACAGAACAGCCCTGTGTTCCTGATTTCGCCCCAAACGTCTCACCTGATGCTTTTGTATGTAAACAGATTTCACTGAAGTTTTGGGGGCAGCAGAGGGAAAAAAAAATTACATCACAGAGCAAACAAATTGGATATGAGACTGCCTTATTCTCCAAACTCCTTTTTCTACTGTCCCTAAATTTTTCTTGGCTACATTTCACTGCAGGAAACTCTCAACTTCAAGAATGGGATTAGGTTGAGATGAGCCAGGCACCTAAGGCACACAATTTAAGGAGGCTCACATGTGAGCCTGTACTCAGGTACTGTATTAGCAGGAGCCTGAGAATGACAGCCTCCTTAAATCCTCCCTTACCCTGGTCCAGGTCCTGTCAGCTCCACTCCAAGGGGCTCCTTTCCTTTGCTCCTTCCTCCCTCCTCTGCATTTCTCACTCCACAAATTCTCATTGGCCGTTTACTTGAAGAGACCTTTGTTTCATTTGTTTCATTCTCAAAATGGGGCATCAAGATTATCTTCCTAAACAAAATCAGTTATGTCCCTAAAAGAGACACACAACAGTTGGCTACATAATTATTTTTATTTTACTGCATAAGGACGCAGCAGAACATGCCGACTTGCAAACTATTTGACCCCAGGGCGCCCCTCCCCCCTTTCTTTTTTCCTCCTCATCTAGGGCTAATCTACCCGTGGGAGAATGCAAGAGCCTTGTCTTTCTTGCTCTAATACAACCAGTGGCCACTGGAGGCAGCAAGCTGGTCAGTTCGGGGCTGCAGCAAGAGTTCGGAGGTGTCTAAAAGCTGCCTGTGGATCCAGATGTGGCATCCAGGGTCGATCCAGAGCTGATCCTGTGCACACGGCAATGGAAGCTCTTGTGCAAGTTGGAAAAAAGCCTAAAATAAGTGGGCAGCATCTGGACTAGGAGACAAATTCAAGGCAAAGCGGCCCTCAGGAAGGGCCTGGAGCTGCTTACATGCCCAGCTCTCAATGTTAGCTTGAATCACCATGGGTTTAGCAAACTCAGCATGCCTCCCATTGTATCCTCCATTCTAGAGAAAGGCATTGTCCCAAGACAGTGCCCAAGTGGTCCACGTTGGAAGCCAGAGATTTAGTTCTCTCTTCTCCTTGTCTCATCTTCATGACCATTTGTCAAGTCCTAGATTCCACCTTCTTTATACCATTAATGTTTTTCTCTTTCTCCACATTTCTACTACCATTATCCAAGCCTCCAACAGGGATCAACTACTGGAGCCACCATGTTGACCTTTTTACATTTTGGAGGCCTTTATATATAAGTGACTTTTGTTATCCCACCACCATAGAAAACTAATAAAGTACCAATATCTGACAACTGATCTTCAAGAAATGAAGATCCATGAACTGATTGAAAAAAAATAGCTTTCAACTCCTCTTAAAGAAGTTAGTGAGATAAAAGAAAACAGACAAGTAAAAGAAATTGAAACAACCACACTTGAACAAGCTGGTAAGTACAACAAAAAAATACAAGCACTTTTTAAAAATCCAGAAGATGAAGATAGTTTCTGACTGAAAAGTAGAATAGAGTACTTTAACAAGCTGATACGATCAAGCAAGAGAATCACTGAATTAAGAGACACATTTTAAATTATCCAGTAGGGGAGCAAATAGAAATGAAGGATAAAAAACAATGAAGAAAGCTTATTGAACTTAGGAGACACCATCACACAAAATAATATATGTACTATGAGTGTCCAAAAAAGGAAAAAGGAGAAATGGCCTGGAAGAATATTTAAAGAAATACTAAACCCAAACGTGGTGACACATGAATATAATTTCAGCACTTGGAAGGCCCAGGCAAGAGGATCATGAGTCTGAAGCCAGGCTGCATTGTATAGCAAGACCCTGTCTAGAAAAAAAAATTGCTTAAAAACTTCTCAAATTTGGGGAAAAACATGAACATCCAGATTTATAATGTCCAGAGATCTCCAAATGAGTAACAAGATATCTACATTGACACTTATAACTAAATCGTCAAATGTCTGAGCAAAGAAAGTTTTGAAAACAACAAAAAAGCAATTTATGCACCCAAGGGAGTCGCTATCAGTGAGTTTCTCAGCAGAAATACTGCAGGGTAAAGTGGGAGAGGTGAAACACACAAAAGAAATTTTACAAAACAGTGCAAACCAAGCATACTATATCCATTTCAGAATGAAGGAGAGAATTTTCCAAGAAAGCAAAAATTGAGGGACCACGTCCCTAACCAAACTACCCTATACAAAATGCTACAGAGAGCTCCTCAGTTGAAATGCAAGTACACTGGGAGCATAAAAATATTTGAATGTGTAAACTGACATACAAAGATAGTCAACTGCAGAATTTTTAAATATTGCAATGGTATTAGATAAAACATTTTCAACCTAATATATGAAGTTTCTAAAAAAAAAAAAAAAGCATTTTAGCTAGGCATGATGATGTATACACTATCTGTAGTCTCAGCACTTGGGAGATAGGCTGAGACAGGCAGATCACCAGTTCAAGTCCCACCTGGGCAACTTGGTGACTTAGTGAGACTGTCTCAAAACTTAAAAACGAGATGGGGATGTAGCTCAGTGAAAAGGCCCAGTGTTCAAACTCCAGCACCACAAAAATAAACTGTTTTTTAAAGTATATTTTCAGGGGGGCTGGGGATTTAGCTCGGCAGCATAAGCACCTGCCTAGCAAGCACGCAGTCATGAGTTCGATACCTAGTACCATATATATATATATATATATATATATATATACACATATATAATTTTTTAAGGAGACTTTTGTGTTTAGACACAATTTGAGTGCTCTTCATTTCTTGGTGCAAATACAGTTTTCTTTTTGGAGTCATTTTCCTTCCCCCAAAGATCTTCCTTTACCATATCTCATTGTATAGGTTTGTTGGTGATAAATTCTTACAGCTTTTGTATCTATAGAAAAAACTATTTTCCACTTCTGCTTCTGAAAGGCCGTTTTACTGAATGTGGAGGTCTGGATTCCAGCCTTTCTTCTTTCAATACTCTAATGAAGAGCTCTTCTGTCCTCACTCACACTGTTTCCCTGGGAGGTTGCCATCATCTTTATCCATAATTCTCCAGGATACAACCATTTCTTTTGCCTTCTAAGATTTTTTTTTTATGCAATTAGACCTCCAAGCCATAAACCTGTCTGTGTACCCTATTAGGAACCAGACCCCACAGAAGGAAGTGATTGGCAACTGAGTGAACAAAGCTCCATCTATATTCACAGCCACCCTCTGTGGCTCACATCACTGCCTGAGCTGCACTTCCCATCAGATAAGCAGTAGCATTCTCATAGATAAGCAGTAGATTCTCATAAGAGTGCAAACCCTTCTGGGAATTCACATGTGAAAGATCTAGGTTATGTGCTCCTTTGAATCACCCCAGAATCACCACCTTTTCCAATTCATGAAAACTGACCAAAAAAGGTTGGGCCCACTGAATTAGACAATGATATACCTTACTGTCATTTGCTTCATATTTCTTATTTTTATGTTTGAAGTTTGTTGAAATTCTTGGCTTATAGTTTTTATCAAATATAGAAAGCTTTGGCTATTACTTTCTTGAACTATATTTTTAAGTCTTCCATTCTCCACTTTCTTTTCTAGGCATGCCAGTTTTATACAGTTAAAGGACTATAAATAATTGTTTTTCTTTTAGTCTTTTCTCCTTGTGATTCATTTTTCATAGTTTCTGTTGCTGTCTTTAACTTCACTCATCATTTCTTTTGCAGTGCTTAATCTGTCCATTCCATTCCATGTATTTTTCTTTTCAAATGTGGTTATTTTAATCTCTATAATTCCAATCCGGGTCTCTTTTGATCTTCCATGTCTCTCCTTACCATGCCTTCCTTGATGAAAATAACAGTATAGTTAAACAGCCATTTCAGTGTCCTTGTCTGCCCTTTCTGTCAGATACGTAGTTTCATTCTTTTGTGTGCTGATTAGCACTATCCTCCGCTGAGAAGAGCCTTTTCATAATTCTACAGCCATCTCGCAGCTTTCTCCTGCTACAGCTGCCTTGGTTTGCTTAAATTACCTGCTCTCGCTCCTCGACTCAGGGGAACTGCTGGTTCTTCTTATGTTTCCCACTTCGAACTGCCAGCTGGGACAGTCATCGGGCTCACTCGAGGATCACCAGCTTGTGTTGTCGGCTGTCTAATGTCTGAAAACTGCAGTTCCCTGTAACATGCCAGTTTTAAATTGCTTATGTTGGTAGGCAAAGCTCCAGTTCCTGTTATGCCATCTTAGCTGAAAGCGAAAGTCTCAGATTGGCTCTTCTAAAACATAAACCTGATTGAAATGCGCTGGCAAGTCACTGAAAAATTATAAGAAGGAAATTACCAAGTTGATTTGAATTTTAGAAAGGTCACCCTGAATATAGCCCAGTAAAAGATCCGGGGAAAACAATTGGAGCATATTTCCAAAGTAAATGTTGGCAAAGTCTGAGTAGCTAGACGTTAGGGAATTTATACTTGAATGTTTCTCTCTGGGGACTTATGTCTAGGATATTCTGAAGATACCAACTGTGCATTTTTAATACAGGAGTTGAGAATCACAGCTTTCTAGGTCTTTATGATTACTGTCAGCCCTTGAAATCCTAAGCATGACCCACTAGATATCTAACTTACCTGTTCAGCCATAAACTCAGGAGTGTGGATCATTTTTATTCAAGACAGGCTTTCAGAAAACATACTGGCAACCTGGGCTCAACACATGGGCTCTTCCTTAAACATGGCATCTGGAATACACTGTCTTAATCCTTGGGCTTTTTAGGTTTCTCATTTGCTGCACGGATATGACTTGGTTGTAGGATTACAGTGAACCTTCCCCAAGAAAGCCCTGGAAATGTATGTTATCTCAGTCATGTTTCTTGACACTAGCACCAAAAACATCTGCAAATTAAAGGAGGAGAGGCTTATTTCGGATGACACTTAAAAAGTTTCAGTCCTTTCAGTTTGGCTGGCTCCAGGCAGAGGCAGCATGGTTGAAGGGCCCAGGTAGGGGGAAGCTACTCACTTGATGGCAGAAAAAAGCAGACAGAGGGACAAAGGGGGGGCCAGGAAGGAAGAAGTAGCCTTTCAGGTGACATCTACAGTGATCCACTTCCTCGGACCAGACCACCACCACCCCTGACAGCAAACCAGCTGAAAGTCTGAATAATTTTATTCTTAACAAGAGTAAGGAAAGGTCAAAACCTAAAACATGAAATATATAGTAACTAAATAGATAAAAGAAAGACATTTATAAATGCAAAGAAAACCCTTTAAAAATAGTTGTTCTGGGAAATGTTAATATATTTCCTTCAAAGCAAAGTAGATCACATAGCTAACAGGAAGTACACAGGATATAATAATGTAATTCATAAGTTTACATTGAATTAGAGAAAATAAACTTTTATATTGACAAAATATTTATAAAAATCACTTTCGTACTTTATCACAAAGAAAACATTGACATTCAAAAAAAACTGTGAGGCCACTCACATTGTCCTAAGCTAATAAAAAGAAATAAAGTTAAAAGATATTCTTCAATTTAAAGATGGAAATTAATAAACACACTCCAAATTACCCACATAACAAGGAACATAAGCCTGTTCTATACCCCAACTCACGGAACAAGGCAAAATAATTTACAGTAAAAACCAAAAATAATGGTTTGTGTATTTATTCTCAAAATGAAAGAATTAACATTGTTTATTAGTCAGTGCTTTACAGTCAGCTGTGGAAGAGTACAAGCTCTCTGTCTACATGCTGGAGACCTGAAGGAGCCAGTTGAGGGCTTGGAGCCCAGGCAATGTCCCGTGCCCTCTGTATCAGGAGGCAGAAGGATGGGATACTAAAGGGTCTGTGCTGGAAAGGCCTACGGGCCAGTGCTGGAAACTAACTTGTCTGGGCCAACAGGCTGAAGGATCCGGGCCAGAAGGCTGTGGGATCTGCACTGGAAGCCAGGAGACCACATCCAAGGTGAGGACGAGGATGGAAGTTCCCCTGAAAAAAGCAAGCAGCCAAAGCTCCTTCGAAGAAAAATCGCCAAAACTCTTCTGAAGGAAAGCAGCCTCAATGACGCTCTTCTGAGGAAGATCTACTGAAATCCTTCCCTTCTGGTCTCCTTTTTGCACAGTTATGGCATCGGTGCTGACTCAAGTTGACAATTAACCACCACACATCTTTAATGGGTTAAAAAAATTGCTGGGGAAAACAGAGATTTAATGTACTAAACCCTGGCTATGATTAATGAAAACAAAGATAAAAAGTAATTTTAAAAAGATAACTATACCCAATACTTGGGAAGCTAAGGCAGATAAAAAACAAGTTTGAGTCCTGCCTGGGCAACTTAGTAAAAAAACTTTTAAATAGTAAAAAGATCAGGGGACATAGCTCAGTGCAAGGGCTATGTGTAGAATCCCAGTACCCAGACCAAAAAAAAAAAGTAAATGCAATGCTAACTTTTTTGGTAAAGCAAGTGATAACTAAAATGAAGTCATAACAAACCTTATTATAAATGAAAGTAGAAATATACAAGATTTTGTGTGAGGAAGGGCACATAAATACAAGTCAGTTCCAGGCATGAGAGTGCACACCTGTAACCCTAGCACTTGGGAGGCTGAGGCAGAAGGATAACCGTAAGATCAAGGCCATCCTGGACTCTATAGTGAGTTTAAGACCAGCCTGGACTACATACTGTGAGACCCTGTCTAAATAAATAAATAAATTTACCTATTAAATACATTTATTTTAAAAAATATTTTAGCATCTTATTGTATAAAGGCAAAATATTGTATATTCTTATCTTTAAAGAGCAGATAAACTCAGTATTAGTTCAATTTGTACAGACCACGTAACATGTAGACATTTCTGCCTTAATTTACCAAGCCACAATAACTCACCACTAACATAGTATATCAAAAATGACCAATGTCACAATAATATAGATGCCCAAAAAATCAAAAATATTTCATAAAACATATATAATTATGAAAATACATCAAATATGCAATGAATAATATAGCATGACTATGTGGATTTATTATAGCAGGGAGGAAATAATTCAATATCCAAATATCTAGTAACAAATTCTATTACATCAACCAAATAAAGGAAAAGCTATATAATCATATCAACATATGACTTAAATAAGATCAAGCAATAATTAAAAATTCTAAATTAGAAATCATTTAAATACATGTTCAGAAAATAGTGGCAAATATTCTAGGTGAAGAAATGCTATAGTCATTTTAAGTAAAAGTAGGAACAAAATGGGTCATGATTTTAACATTTAATCATTGTTTTTTTTTTTTTTTTGTCTTTTTCATTTTTATCGGTACCGGGGATCGAACTTAATCATTGTTTTAGATGATCTGTCAAATGCAGTATGTCAAGGAGGCTATACAATTTTTATAAATATTGAAAACATTTTTATTTTTTCCAAATACAATTGCTAATCTGCAAAAGTCAAGAAATTTTACTTCAAAATTAATAAAGTCTGCTGTGGTTGTAAGTGTACTTGACAAGTATTTTTGAAGTGGACTTTCTGTATATTAGTCACACCAGTCCAAAATAGGATAGGTAAAAAATATTCTACTCTCATACAGGCAAAAAAAATTGTATAAATATGTAGGGAAATCTAACAAGGAAAAAAAGTTAAGTCTCCAAGCTCTGGCCCCAAAAGAATTTATTCAGTACAAACTTCACATTTTGATCACATCAGCCACATGCTTTCATGCATTTGTGCTATCGTGCATGCTGTTCCTGTCACCTGCACATGCTATTCCTCTTGCCTGCAGTCATTTTCTCTTTGATAAACCTCTTGTCCTTTAACATCACCCCACCACCCCCACCCCTCACCTACCCCTCACCCCTGTCATTCCCCACTCCCTTATCTCCTCTGATTCCTTCCTCTACTCCTCAGTCTCCTGTAGGAATTCCCTTTAGGTAAACACCCTCTGTAGAAAAGGCTGGGAGGTAGGGGTGCAGGTGAAGTCAAGGAAAGGAAGGGTGGGTAGAGTAAAAGATAAAAGTTAAACAAATGCCCCAAGGAAACTTTAGAAACCTGAAGTCCTCCTACCTTAGATCCCGTGTTAAACTGAAGTGCATGCAGCCTTTCAATGTTGTCCCCTTCCTGTGTGCTGTTCCTCTCATGCCTCCCAGGGTCTAACTCCCACTGACACCTGTTCAATTTCAGAGTTAGACATCAAGGATGTTGTGGCTCTAGAGTCCACTCCACGGGCACCCTCATTCCGTCGCCAAAGTTTGTATGCAGATCCCTCGATTCCTGAGAATGCCTTTGGCGGCCGAAGAATGACCATAATGAAAGACTGGCCAGTCAAGACCTCAGACATCACTTTTGAACGCAAGCTAAAGAGCCTTATGGAGAAGGGCACTGAACCAAAGATAGAAAGCGTGAAAATGCTGAGGCCAGAGGAAGTACTGAGCTGCCGGTGAGCACCTGGCAGCCTGGGCTGGGCAAGGGGTTTAAAGGAAGATTTCAGACACTGCTGACCCTGGAATAGAGGAAGGTGGGCTCAGCAGGGCTCACCTCTGGCCTTGGGTCCCAAGGGCTTGCTCCAGGCTGCTTCCCAGCAGCCCCCTCTGCCACCTGACCACCTCCCACAAGGGCGTGCCCTTAGGTGCTGCCATGTGGATGCTGTTATCCATCTGGACACTGACACAACTCTTCCAATAGTCCCATTAGTTTCCAAGTACAAACCAAAGGCACTATTCATGCAGCAAAGAATGAGTTGTGACTCATCTTGTTTTAACGAGAAATTCCCGTCAGATTCTTTACACAAATGTTGAATTTCTGGTGATAGTAGTCAGCATCTCCAGTGGCTATCTGCAGTACATTTTGGGGTTTTCAACTTCCATAGAGGGGGTGTGAACACAGTGTAGAACTATTTGGTATATATTCCTATTACCAAGGGTCTCCTTTCTTGCTTGTTTGGTAACTTATTTATTAGGACTCACTGGTTTTCAGCAACACCAAACAGCCAGATTTCCCCCAAACAAAAGTGCCAGGATCCCTCTCCCTAGTGCAGTGTTATTCATTACTGTAAACATACAAATGGCAAAGCTCAAAATCTTTAGGAGAGGAAGAAATAAGACAAACCGAATAATGTAGTCATTCTTGTAGAGTTGACAGCATAAACTCATATGTGTGTTTAAGACGGTCTTAAATGTTTGAAAACCAAACAGTCTCATTGCAAAGGTCTGCTCTGCTCACTGACTGACTAAGGGATAAGTGAAATGGTTGGCTAGCTGAAAGATAAACAGGCAGAATTCCCCCACTGATTACCCTTGTAGGCAATTAATGACTGGCTTGGCTTTCAGATGAACAAGTGTTTCTAGTTGACTCTGGCCAATAGACATCCTCCTTGGGCTCCATGGTGAGGGGAAAAGAGTTTGAATAGGACTCCTGCCCTCCAATGAGGAGGACTTTAGAAAATATTTTAAATTAATAGCCTAACCTTTTTCATTATTGGAAAAATATTCAAAGAACGTATCTACCTCTGTTCCCCAAACTGCTCAGCCATTCTTTCCACAGCTCTATACTTCCCTGGCCCCTGGTATCCTCCTTATTCTGTGTTCATAACAATGGCACACCACACAATGACCTGCATCCTGGTTTTTCTCCCCCATATGAGTTAATATGACAGTCATTTTCTTCCTTCTAATGCCTTCTGATTAAAGGCATTTTAATTAGGAGATTCCAAACTCGGACAGACCGTGCTTGGCTTAACCATTCCTCTCATGGTGGAGTATTGCCGTCTTCTGTTGTTGATCATCCCCAAATGAGAACCTTTTATTCTATAACTTTTCCTTCTGTGGGCATCTTGAGATAAGTTGACATCTTGAGGAGATCTACTGAGTCAAAGATAATGAGCCGTTTTTTCTTTGAAAGGAGACCAGGAGTCATAGTTGACAAATTGATTTTCAAAAGAGTTATACAATGTAAAGTCCCACCCTATGGGTACCTCTGGCTTATACAGACTTCATGAATTCTGCAGAGCTTGTCTAGAGCCAGGCTGTAAGAGGATCCCATGCTAACTGAAGCTTAAGCACTAAGCAAGCACTAGGAGTAGGGACACCCTTGTCAATATAGACAGAGGCAGCCAGGTATTGTGGCAAAGCTTGTAGTACCAGCACTCTACAAGGCTAATGCAGAAAAATCACAAGTTCAAGCCCAGCTTGGTCCATCTAGTGATGTAACAAGACTGTGTCTCCAAATAAAAATTAAAAAAGGATGGGGTTGTAGTTCAGTCCAAAGGCCCTGAGTTCAACCCCCAGTGCCAGAGATAGAGATAGAGAGAGAGAGAGAGAGAGAGAGAGAGAGCTAGTATTACTTCACCTTCACTGACTCTTTGGCCTTCTCCTGCACAGATACCTGAGGTTGTCCAGCAACAACATCCGGACCTTGTTCAAGCTGTGCAAGGATGTGGGTCTGAACATGGACATCCACCCTCACATGACTGAAACAGAGATAGATGTTCAAAAGGTGTTCCCCAAAAACCACAACGCAGCAGCCTGAACAGCTCCTCCCCCTGGCCACCTTCCAGCTCTTTCCGCCATCTGACTGTGGCCACCAGAGGGTAGCATCTGGTATACTACAACTGGCCTTTCAGACTTGGCACATCTGTTTTAGACAGTAGCAATCAGGAAAGCATCCCAGATCGCTCTGTAGATGTAGGCTTTGTCCTCGCCACTCATGTCCAACTCCAATTAGAAGAACCTGCATGTTTTCTTACTCTCAGAGAAGTCTCCTTAGGAAGGCCATCTCACAGGGAGTGGGAAATGGAGACTCAAAGTCCCCAGAGGACCTTAAGAAGACAAAATGTTGAGGGACACACACACACACACACACACACACACACACGGCCTCTTTTATGTTGGTGCAGTCAAGGGGGTAACAAGAGCCTCAGACAGCATAGACGGAAACAAGGAAATTGGCCTTTGGGTGCTCACAACAGTGGGGCCCCCTGGGGCTGGGAGCTTTTGGGCATTCGATATCTGTAAGTTCAGGACCTCATTATTCACTTGAAGAAGTAGAGAGGGCAAAGCACTTACCCAAAGTCACACAGATGGGAAAATGACAGGGCTGGGATGCAGTGGTGTCCCTGCCTCAGCCTCCTGCTTTGCCTTCTTGTACAATAGAAATTTCTGTCAAATCCTGCAGAGACACAGCCTTGCCATCTGCCACCCCTATGAATCAAGGCCACAAAGCCAGGCTTTTCTAGTCCCCATAAGCATTCTGAGTAAGTTTGAATTCCAGCTAGGCAGTTACTTTACCTCTCTGCACATTTGTTCTTTTGTCTGTAGAATGGTACTAATGGCAGCATCTGTTGAGCAGAGATGCCATGAAGGCCAAACACAAGTTCGTAGGTGGCATGGGAATCATGGTCACTGACACCTAGGAGCTCAGTAACACAAAAGCTGCTTCCATGGTCCCCAGGTAACTGGTAATCCCAGTCACTGGATTCACAGTCAAAAGCCTGAGAATTGCGTGTGCCCATGTGGGAAAGCCTTGTGGAAAAGCTGATAATACAAAGCCACATCTTCCCATTCAAAACTGCACAATGTTTTGGTCTCCAAGTTCCTGGGAGCTAGGGCATTACCCCAAGGAGCATGACTCACAGAGGAAACCCCTACAGAGCAGCCTGTGCTCCAGCCTGGCCCAGGTATCCTGGTTCTACCTCTGACTTAGGCAGGAAAATGGCAAGGACTGTCTTTCCTAGCTCCTGTCTAATGTCCAGGGCCCTCATTCAGGCCCTAAAGTGCTCCTCAGAGGGAACTCGTCTCCACTGATAGTCACTAGCTTAAGGCTAGAGAGAGGCCATGTAGGCTACCAGTCCCCATACCCCAGCCCAGCCACTTCTAGTTTGGAGGCACAGGGACCACTAAGGAGAGACAGGGCCTTTGGAGGACAAGGAAGGCCAAGAGAGCAAGAGCACAGGAAGCCCTGCTGCTTGGACAAAACCATGTGAAACCAGAATCTTAACCCAGTTGCAAAGGATTAAGTGACAATCCTTCTCCCCAGTAACTTTCTGCCCCTTTGGGAGAACCAGCTCTTCAAAAAAAGGAAAACGAAATGTATTTTCTGAGCATCACTATATTAGTCTGTTTTCCATTGCTATAATGAAACAGCTGAAACAAGGTAACTTGTAAAGAAAAGAGGTTTTGGAGGCTAAAAGTCCATGCTGCATGGTATAGGTTCTGGCGAGGGTCTGACCACATTACATCATGGCAATCCCCTCCTAACAGACGTACGGGAAAGAGCCGTAAAGCCAGAGAGTAACTATAGCTGGTCTAGCTCTTTTATATCAACTTTCTTTAGAGAAATAAACAGGGCTCATAGAAGTTTGAGAAGGAAGCACTCATAGCTCCACAAGGCCCCACCCCTTAAAGAGCCCACCCCTTCTCCCAGGGCCACACTGGGGACCACACCTGCAACACTTGATGAACCATTGGGGTATACATTCAAGCCACACCCAAGCCACAGCAATGACCAAATGCTAGATACTTTGTCAATCTTACCTCATCCAAAAGCAAAAGCTGAAATCACCCTCAAAGGTATTCGTACCAGCACTGCAGGCCAATGCTCGAGGGGGCCTGTTGTCATCTCAGGAAGTCTCATCTGCCTCTCTCCTGCTGCAGTGGGAACATATTTTCTCCCATTGATGCCACAGTGGAAAGGGAGAAATCAGCTTCCATTGTCTAGTAAATATGGAAGGACAACGATGAGAAACGTTAAGAGATTAAGTGGCCCTGAAAAATTACATGCCAGATACACTAACCATAGCTACTTAATGTGACAATGACCATTTAGCCTATTCATCTACAGGCTTGTTTTCCATACAATTCAGCTGATTATGACTCCAGGATCATTACCACATATCTGTTTAAAATGAATGACCAAAAACAGACCAGCTCAGTTCTCTAATAAGGCCTGAGGCCCACAGATCCTTCCTTGCCATAAGGACTGACTTCAAAGTAACAAGATTCTATTATTTATTTTCTTTCCTTTTCCCAATGACTGACTTTCTATGCTCTTCTTGTGGTTCACTTAGACCCCTGGTTATTTCCTGCAGAGCTGGAGTCATATACCAGTTCTATTCCTCCACAAAGTACTATGAAAAAGGGACCCTCGGCCCCTTCAATGTCCCAGAGGAGCCAGGGCCCAGCATCTCAGTCCTATTTTTCCTTGTTTTGTGCTCAGAACATTGGAAAACAGGATGATTTTCATGATCTCAACACTCCATCCTCCTACCTTCTATGGTCCTTAGGAGTTTCTAGGGTCTGTGTGAGAAAGGGCAGGCAGAGGGAGCAGCATTTGCAGAGGTCAGAGACAAGGATTAGTGTGTTATACTGGGGACCTGCAGCTATTCAGTCTGGACAGAATGGACAATGACAGGGAGCATAGTCCATAAGATGATGTGCATAAGGTTTGTCAGGTGCATTTTCTTTGGAGTTTTAATTCATTTCACAAATATTTTGTGAGTTCCTACTATGTGCCTGGAGTTGTTATAATGTCTAAGGATACAGCAAGGTATAAAAATAAACATATTCTTGCTTTCATGGAGCTTTTATTCAAGTGAGGAAATGACACGATTTGGACAAAAAGCCCAGAAGTTTCATGGGTTCAGAAGAGAGGCTTTTGAAAAGTGACTAAATCATGGGGCAGTAATCGCCTTGAGGGTTTAATCCACTGAGTTCAAAGCTCAATGTGCCATGAGGAGGTAGGGACTGCTTGGAGGAGGAGGCTCACTGAGGTGTGCCTTTGAATGGTATGTCTCTTCTCCAGCTATTCCCCTGTCTCTCTGACTCCTGGGTGCCATAGTTGGAACACATTTCCTCCTCCACATCCTTGTGCCTTGGAGCCAGCCCTCCATGGACTGTAACCTCTGAAATCATGAACCAAAATAAACTCTTTAAAGATTGTGAACGTCAGATATTTTGTCCCAGCAACAGAATGCTGACTAATACAGGAAATATGTAATATGCACCTCAACAGAAATTTCAGCAAGTAATGAGAAAATAAAGACAGGGCATTATGACAGAACATGACTGGGCAAGGCACTGAGGAGGATTCTTTTAGCTAGGGTGGTCAGGGAAGGCCCCTCAAAGGTAAGTACTTGGGTTAATTTTTGAAGGAGAAGGAGAGGCAGCCAGGTGTTGGTCTAGGAGAGTCTGCTCCAGCAAACTGAAATCAAAAACAGAGGCTACTGTTGGGACTTCAAGAAAAGCTGGTGTGGCTCAAGCAGCAGGAGATGAGAAAGGTAAGGAGGCCAGGCCTTATAGACTATGTCTAGAGTCTGAATTTCATTCTAATTTCAAAAGGAAGCAACACTGGAGGGTAAAGATGGAGAGAAAAATACCCCTCTGGCTTCTCAAAGGAGAAAATATTATGAGAGAGTAAAGGAACATCTGACTAAGTAGCTAAGAAGTCACAACAGTTAGCTATGGCTATATAACAAGTTATCCCAAAATATGGTTTTAAGCAATACAGTTTTTCACATCTTAGGTCAACTGAGCAGCACTGCTGATCCTGGGAAGGCTCGGTAGACTTGGCTGGCCTTGCATCTAGTTTAGCTGGGGGCCGATTGGTTTAGGATGGCCTTGCCTGGGAGACAGCTTGTTTCTGCTCCAGGCACATCACCCTCTAACAGGTGGTCCTGGGCTTGTACTCAGGATGCTGGTAGTGCATGACGCCCGCTGAGGACCGGCACATCACGCTCAGCTCATTCTAGTCCGTAGTAGCCAAGACAAAGTCCAAGGTCCGCTCAGATTTAAGGCTGCAAAAGTACACCATGCTCTGAAAGGAAGGCGTTGAAAGCCATATTGCAAAGAGCCTGGATAAGGAGGCTGAGGGACTACGGCCACTTTTGCAATTAATAAGAAAAAGAAGTTAAAGGCTTGAACAGCGATCATGTTGCATTTTGGAGGTAGAGCAGAGCTTGTCACTGGATAGAATACAGGCTGGAGGAGAGGACTCAGGGATGACTCTTAAGTCATCCAGTGGCCCACCCAAGTGACCAGTGTGCCATAAAAGGAGGTGGGGAAGAGCCAAAGAGAAGGCAGGGGCCCCGACTTCAGTAGGAACTAGTTGGGTAGAGGATGCCGTCAGTATCATTAGGCTGCCCCAGTCATCAGAGTGGAACCACAGGCAAGTTTGAAGAAGAAAAGTAACTTGAGGAAGGACAGATTGAAGGAGCAAACCAGAGACAGAGAGTATTGGTTTTCCAAGGTTACTGTAACAGAGTACAACAAACCTGGTGGCTTAACACAACAGACTTCCTTGTCTCGTAGTTCTGGATACTAGAAGTACAACATCAAGGTGGTGCCAGGTCTATGATCACTCCAAACGCTCCAGCAGGGACTCTTCCTCATTTCATCCAGCTTCCTGTGTCCTGGCTGTTTCATCACACAGCAGCAGGATGCAACTCCTGCCTCCTTCTCCATGTGGCCGATTTCTCCATGTGTTTCTAGTCTCCTTCTTGTAAAGACACTAGTTATATTAAATTGGGACCCACCCTAATGACCTCACCTTAACTTGATTCTATCTTATACAGACTCTATCTCCAAATCAGGTCACATTCCCAGACCTCCAGGGTTAGAATATTTTAGGAGACAGAATCCATCCCCTAACACAGGGAGATCAAAGGTGAGGAGTCAGAGGCCCAGAGAAGAGCAGACACTTCCCTCAAGAGCCTCCCACCCAAATTCATGGCTGAGTTGACACCAGAACCCACATACCTGCCCCTCTCTAGCTCAGTCAGCCATACCCTGGTATCCATTTCTGCTCAGTGCCAGAGTTGGATCCCAAGGCTAATAGGACCCTGAAGTAGATCCATCTCATTGCCCTTCCATTGGGACATTCAGAATGAGGGTCACTGGAGGATTCCCCTCAAACCCCAAGACTATCATATCTGGACTTATTCATTAACCTCCAAACCCTTCACACAAAGTAAACTTGGCAGGAAGTCCAGTCCTCTTGACCAAAAGCCACATCTTCAAGGGACATTTCATGTCCCCAGGACCTTAAGGGGAAGTGCAATAGAAAGCCTGTCTCCTGGGCCTGGG